AGAGTGTTCTGAGTACAGTGAATCTTTAAATAACACTGAATGGCTACAGCTGTGATTTTCATGTACATATATGAATTTTGAGTAAGTTGTGTTGTTTTTGAAAATTAATGTTTGTCTGTATATTGCTAAACACAGGGCAATGTCCATAAAATCTTGGAAAAATGCAGTTTACCACTTACTGGGAAACAATGTGTAAATCGCATCATTACAGAGAAGGTAAAGTACTTTTCTTGAATCCTTGTCAATACTTTCTTCCTCTATCCCTAAGAAAACTTTCACCATTGACATCTAGCATGCTGGACTCTTCGACACCTTCAGAACAAAGATGTCACACATGAGAAGTATGCAAAGTGTGCACCTCCATATTTTTCCCAAAGTATTCCTGAAAATTTGCCATGTGAGATGCAAATCCTCAAATACAGCTGTAATTACAGCTTGTTTTTTTCCAGCAGAGCAACGACTGTGTAGTGCGTATATATCAGACAATTGGCATGTTCCTTAGTGTATACTAAAGACTCTTTCAGAGAAACAAAACCTGTAGCTGTAGCAGCGCTTTAATTCTTTTGTCCTTACTTCATTCCATTTGTGAAGTAATTTACTCTCCAGTGCAAGTACATGTAAGCATCTGATATTGCTGCTGCTCAAAGTACATTAGCGGATCTTTTCAGCAAAGGATAAGTGACTTAAGGTTTTTGCTGCAATCATACTCCTTTTATTATCAGTGTTCACATTTTTAAGGGCTTAGAGTAGTCCCTCTGTGAACCATCTATCATACTAAGTAGAATGCATCAAAGGTGCTGATGTAGAATTTGCTTTCTCCCAAAAAGAGAGAAAGTAGAATTATTGCTACTGTAATTTAAAGGTTTTTTTTTCTCCACAAAGTAAGGGAAAATAAATGAAAATGTGAGTTTTTCCAGTCTTCTACTAACTGGCCACATACAAATGTGAGGTACAAAAAACCGAGAGTCAGCAAGGACTGATAGAAGACAAACAACAAGGAGAAATTTCTCTATGAGTCACCATTTGTCAGATCTGGTTGTTTTATTAGGAGGTGACACAAATGTAGAACAGTACATAGATAGTGTCGCAAATTCTCTTTCCACACTAGCTTCCTAGTGTGTATGTTACTTATGCCCAGCTTCTCTTTTAAAGACTTAGAGGAGCTATCAGGGGATTTTTTAGTCCCATAAATCAGACTCATGGGTCCAGAGGACAGCTTTTGGTACACGACTGTGATAAGCTTAAGACTTCACTTTTACTTCAAATTCAATCTTCACTGGTCTTTTGCTACTGGCTTTTTTTTTTTTTTTTTTTTTTTTAATAAGGAAAATTACTGTAGATCTTACGTTTTCTCTGGCAACTAGCTTGCAACCTGCGTATCTCCCTCTGGTAGGCACCATTAAAGTGCACATCATTTTATGGGTGTTTTTAGTTGATGCACTTGTGAGCCTTGGAAGTGGAAAGCATGTCTTATAAAGGCATCAGAAAGAACAGCCTTTGCTCCTTCAGTCCCTTCCTCACAGGCTTTCTATTAAAAATTCAACAAGAAATCTTGTCTTTCATTGCTAGCATCTGAAAATACTAAACACTAAAATACTGGGTGTGCAGTAGCTGTTGGAGAAGCTTATAATCTGACAAAGGTCATCAACCACTGTGTACTTCTCTACTGGCCTTAAAATGAAATAGAAGAATGGGCGACACATTGCCTTTTTCTGTTTTCCTTCATGATCTCTTGGTGAGCATTGTTTTGCAGCAAAGAACGTCTCAGCCCTCCTCCTTTGGACATCCCAGTTCTCACCAGATTGGAGCAGGAGGCAAAGTCCTAATTACATGCAATGAAGAACAGTTGCACGTTTTTCATAGAATTACAGAATCATAGAATGATAGAACAGTTTCAGTTGGAAGAGACCTTCAAGATCATTGAGTCCAACCTTTCTCCTAGCTCTACCAACACCACTAAACCATGTCCCTAAGTACAACAGCTACCCGTCTATTAAACGCCTCCAGGGATGGTGACTCCACCACCTCCCTGGGCAGGCTGTTCCAATGCCTGACCACACTTTCAGTAAAGAAATTCTTCCTAATACCCAGCTTGAACCTTCCCTGGTGCGGCTTAAGGCCATCACATTTTTCCCACAAAACTAACACAGCTCATATTTTAGATTCTTTCAGGTACAAATAAATGTAGCAGAAATCTTTGTTGGTGAGTTAGAAAAGTGAAACCAATTGATAATGGCATTTTTTGTTACTTAGGGAGCACTACCTACTTCAGCACACCATTTTGTACAATATTGCTACTTACATCCTCATATTGTGCTTTGATAATAAAAAAAATATTTGTGTGCTATTTGAACCTGACAGGCTGTGTTTGATGTGGACAAGAAGAAGGGATTGACCCTTGTGGAAATCTGGGAAGGACTGACAGTGGATGATATCAAGAAAAGCACTGGCTGTGACTTCACAGTAAGTTATTTTACAAAGAAATATCATTAGTCTGGTATCAGAACAAATATTCTCCACAAATACTCATCACACGAAGACTTGCAGATGCGGTAAGTTTCTGCCTTATAGGTGACGGCTGGGTAGATTACCTGTGGGATTTACAATGAAAATAAGGAGATAATTTAGGGCTAATCTGGTATGATTGTATTGGAAGCATTAGAAGCTAGGAAAAACAGAAAGGATGGAGAAATAACTAAGAGTAAGTGGACAATGGGGAAAGAGAACTTTTATGATGCTTTGAAGAGGGGAGCTGATTCATGTCTGAGAGGTGGATTAATATTTATTTTTCCACTGTATAAGTTAGTTTACCTAACTGTCTGTTGCTAAGTTTCCATGCTATCTTTTTGTGCGGTTGTGAGTCTTTTCAACAGGGGTGATGACATGTGTCCAGTCTGTGTTGCTAGTGCCGATCAATTAAATGCTCCGCTGTTGATACCTTTGCCTTTTCTCTCCCATTGCCTTGTATGGGTAAAACTCATGCTCTGCATTAGTCCAGAAAGCTAGTGCCTTTTGACCTTCACATTCATTCTTAAGTCTCACTTACTGCTAACACAAAACTGGCTTATTAATGGAAAGCTGTAGCACAGTAGATTGTAACTGATTGCATATGTGTGGTTGATAACATAATTTCTTCATGGCCTTCTCCTACATGCACATTAGGAATTTTTTTCTTCTGTGTTGTGAAGTCTTTTGCAGCATGTCAGCCCTCCTTTGGCAAGGACAGTGAGTATCACAGTGTACAACTTCTGCTGTGAAAGTACTTGGGGATGATTCGGTAATGAAATGCAATGCTCTTCCTCTCTGCAGAATTTCAAGGCAGGGCTAGGGCACATAACTGAAAGGCTTCAGAGCAGTCAGTATGTGAGAGTTTGTTATTAACTCTTTGAGCATACTATGGGCAGTAAGTAAAACTTTCTGAGCAATGAGCCTGTGGAATTTCATTTATTTCTTATGTCCATAAGAGAGCATTTCTGATAACTAATATTATAGTGTGTATTTTTTCTTGTGGGGTTTTAAATATTTTGAATGAAGAGCTGCTCACTTCTGAAAATGCATCTGTTTATCTGAGAAAAATTGTTTGGCTAAAGATGAGTGACCTGCAACTGCAGAGTGCAGGAAACCGCTACAGAATCACTTTACTCCATTATTAATTTTCCGTGTAACATTTTATGGAAGTCATTATTATTTTTTAATTTACAGTGGAAGCAACCTTCCATATTCAGCAATTCTGTGTGCAAAATAAATTTTTCATTAAGCTTCTGACTGTGATTTAGGAAAAAAATATCAATTTTTTAAAACTTCAGTAATGTCGAGACTTCTTTTTCTTTGGCTAATCAGGCTGTCAAACAACTAGCGTCCAAAATTAAAATGTAAAAATGACCTTGTAGGTTTGTATCTATTGCAGTCAGTCACTTTGTTTTGTTCTTGCATATTTAATTTGGGGATTAACTTGATGATGAATTTGAAGGTTCCATGTTTAGTAGGCATTTAAATAGACTGAAACTAGAGGAAAGGACTTTTGTTGTGAGAAGGCACCAGTCCTTGTGTACCTAAACCTGCTTGTTTGGAAGGAGTTGGTTTCTTTTTGGTTCACGTGACCAATATATGTGTATTTCACTGAGTGTGTGTTACCCAAAGTGAAGTCCAGCAGACCTGTGCTCCAGGCAATGAAAGCAGAAGCAACCAAAGAATTCAGAGAAAGAAGTGATAAGCTTAAAATGATGGGCTATGAGATTAAGCTTTGCAGCAGCAGGGTGATGCGATAGAGCAAGACTGTTAGCACCGAAGAAAAGATTAGCACTACCCACTGTCCCTTACTGCTTTCCTGTAAATGTTACAAAGCAATGGTATAAATTTTTAATCCTTAGGATAGCCTAAAGTTAGCAGTTGATAAGAGGTGTTGCAACAATCCAATGTCTAGGTCCTTGGGATCTGTCTCACTGGGATCAGGAAGGGGTGGTTCACAAGCACCATTTGCTAGTTCTCCTGAAAGCAAATTCTAGCGTAGTCTGCTTTGTACAGCTGCTGTGGTCATGCATGAAACCATGAGCTGCACTGAAGGAGGCGTGGGCATGAAAAATGTAGATGCTGCTTGGTTTATGCACTTTCATGTACTTAATCTTGAAAGCATGGGGCCTGCATAAATGCTTGCAAAGCAATGCTTGCTTGCAAAGCATGTACTTCTGCCAAGGTATATGCAGGGGTCAGTGTTACCTACTGATTGGTAGTTCCAAAAGTATCTGAAATCTTTATAGTGCTGCAGATGGAAAGCATGAACCACAATGTTTTGTTTATTAAAGCTGTGGCATGGAAGAGCGCTAGCTCTTCCATTCTTTCTTTTTTTTTCTTTTTTTTTTCCTTTCCTCCTCTAAGGAATGTTTCCACACCACAGTGACCCGGTCCTCCTTTCACTGAAATCCTTACCAAAACTTCTGTTGGTGTCTGTGACAGCAAGACTGGATCACTGTTGCATAATATTGGACCCTTGATGGCCTGATCTTCGTATACAGTGAACACCTACAGCTCCCTCTCTTAGTTTTGGTGTTCAGAAAATAGAGATTTGAGCATTGTGATAGGCATTTGTTCAGAAAGCACCATCCAGTCCTTTTTTCCACATTTCAAGACTGCCTCAGGCTTCTTTGCAAGAGTAACAGTTGTGCTTGTGATTATGTTCATTGAATGAGACATCTTGTTCTTGTTTATATTGGTGACAGGAACTTTAGTGACACTGAATTGGTACAGTAAAAGCAGGTTTTTTGCATACTATGTTTTGCTAGTTTGAAACAGAACTAAGGGGTGGAAAATGAGTTGACCCTTTTCTAGCAGTTTTTTTTCAGTGGATGCAATGACTGATCTGAACTAAAACATCTCTCTAGGTTCATTACAAGTGAGGTTTTAAGGGATAGCTGTACCTTTATGTATAACTCTTCCCATGGAGACTACTCCTTTTTGGAGAAAAGGACTTTATAGCCTATATTTGTTTCTTTGAGACTCATTTGTCTATACCATCCCATTTTCACAACTTGCTTACTTATTTGGAAAAACATCTCCTAAAGGACATTTGCAATAACAAAATGTCAAAGAAAATGTGATTTAGAGTCAACAATCTTCATTACAGACTGGCATCATATCAAAAAATAAACAATTTGCCCTTGATTTTACTGCTGTGAAGATAAAGTGTTGGCTTATATCAGATTTGCTGTAGCCTAGTATATAGATCACCTTGGCAGGTAATCTGTTTGGCCTTGTACTGGTTTACACCGTTGATGAGACCATAAGAGAACAGACTGAGAACCATACTTTTGCAGACATATTTCATTATAACAATAATCAGGGTAAGTCTGTTTGGGTAAAATTTCCCCATGGCCCTGCTTTTTCTTAGTGTAAAAGCTCAGCATTACAAGATGATCTTAAAAGATAACATGGAGTTTAGGAAAAGTAGTTGAATAAAAATTGGCTAGTGTATGTTTAAAAAGAAATTGACAGCCCAAGTACAAGCCAGTGAGTACAAAATTACAGAGGATATGGTTTTATTTTCTGTAAGTACATTTTCCTTTGAGGAAACAGGCTGTTGCAGGATTGCATCCATTTTTAAATGAGTTTTTTCCTCATCAATTACTCCCACTGCAGAAGTCACATTAGGAACAGATTTTCATACAAAAGCTGGTGTTGGAATTGTGGTTTGCTTTTATTTGCAATTTCAAATAATTAGGAGTTAATAAGGGATAAGCAACTTTTGTTATTTTAACAAACATGCTAACACTGGTCATCTTTTTTCTGAGGGGCTGTTTTTACATGTTTGAAAGTGATTTGCTTTTGCACACCTGATAAGACCATTAGAAGTTATTAGGTCTCACTGTCATTCAGAATTGGGCCTTGAGAGAACTTTATAAGAACTGCTATAAAGAAACATAATGAAATAAGCATAGGGCTGTTTGTGTAGCTGAAAAGGGTAGCTTGGGGTTGGAAATTGGAGAGTCAACAAGCTTGAGTTGCAGGGAGTCCCTGAGGCCACATGTCCTCTTATCAGTTCAGAGACTGTGTACAGGACTGCCTAGGCAAACTGCTACCGGTACGCCTACATGTTCAATGTTAACAAAATATTTTGAAGCTTCCAAGATAAGCTGTTCTTCCTGTAAGTGAAATAATATTAAGAACGTGTTGCTTAGGAGGTAGTGTTAGAAAGTAGCAACTCTGTGGCTGTGCACTATAAAGTAGTCTTCGTTAAGCGTGTTCAGCCCTTACCAAATGCTGTGCCCTTATCACAGGATGTTACCAAATTGACCAACTCTGCTGAGGTTTAAGGCAGTGGACTCAGGGGCCTTTCTGCATTTCAGACTTGATTACTTCTTGTTTTCCGGGCAACCAAACCATCCCTTTTGTTATATTTTTTGTTTTGTTTTGTTTTGTTTTTTGTTTTTTTTTTCTTATTTAATCGCATTTTGTTTAGATCAAACAGTTGTGTTCAGGTCCAGTTCTGAGTGGTGCTGGGCTCTTGCCACCTCAGTTGTCTTCAGCAGGCATTGTGGCACTTCAGCACTCATGAGGATTGGGCCCTTTCTGAAGCAAATAGTGGTACACATAAATGACAGCTGTTAGCATCAGATGTGCAGACGTTACATTTAACATAATATGCTCATTCAAATGTAAAACATTGGAGGTTTTGATGGCACCAAAATCTACGACAGCAGAAAAACAATAGTCTCCTTTAGTAATTGTTTTGTCATTATTTGCAGACTAAAAATCTTCATCTAGTTTTTCCCTTTACTTCAATGGAACCATCCCTGGGTGAGGCAGAAATAGGCCCAGACTAGGAGAGGCACATAGGCACCTGGAGTCAGAAATGTTAAAACATTTCTGGGAACTAATCCAGGAATGCTGGTGCGCTCAGGGAGTTTCTCCAGCTCCTCTACACTTACATGTTACATCTATTTGTTATCCTAGTTCATACACAACTTTGAAAAATCAGTGATCAGTTTCCATCCATTGTAAAGATTTAATTAGCGTTTGGTACAGTAAACCCTTCATGAACTGAGCTCTCCTTGGTGGCTATTATCATAAGGTTTTAAATGATTATATACAGTGGCTGGAGGAAAGATAACGTAGAAATGTAACTGGTACAGGAAATGCAGCCTTGTACCTCTAAAAGAAAGAGGCTTTAATGCTTGGAAAGGCCCTTATATATAATTCTTTCATGAGTTAGCTTGTTCAGTGGGATAAGGAGGCAGAAAGAATGCAATATGTGATGTTTCAGTGGAGCACATTAATCAATTAGCAGACAGATTGTCTGTGGAACTGTTTTTCATCCTGAGCAAGTAAGAACCTGTGTTATTTTCAATCTTCATCCTGGGCTACCTATTTAAATAGGGCTGGGAGCAGGAGATATTTAAAGAGGCTTGGATCTTCTATGGAGACCTTTTTCTCAGAGTATTTCTGTAGAACTGCAGTTAGGGTTCAACCAAGTGTTAACCATTGCTACTCTTCAAAGTCTTCTCTTTATTTTTCTCATTTACACCTTCTTTCCTCATCTAGTTTCCTATTTAGGCTTACTGTGTTTTATTTTTGGCCTGCTGGATAGCTTATCACTAATTGATTTTGATGAGTATAGGGAATTAAAACATTAGACTACATAAGTGTGTCCTCGCACAAAAATGAATGTGAATGGAAAAAGGCAAGCTTAAATTAAAAAAAAGGTAAAATTAGAAGTATTGAACTATGTCATCGTCAAACAAATCAAATGAATGTGAATGGAAGAAGGCAAATTTACAAAAAATAGATTAAAGTACAAGTATTGAATTGTATCATCATCAAACAAGTCATCAAATCAAATGTATATATATACTGTTAGTACAGTATATATGTAATACAAATATACATTTGGTTGTGTATCCCCTGCTAATAGGCATGTTCCAAAACTCAGTTGACTAGTTCTCCACAGACCCAGCATTGACAGACAGCATCTTGTTTCCTGATGGGTGGGCAGGAAAAGCAAAAGAACTTGGCTATTGTGCAAAGAAGGGAAATCATCAATTTAAGATTCCTTGGCATGCTTGTTTGAATAACTGCAGTGGCAATTCAGTCATGTATGGAATATTATGTGGCCTCTACATCGTTCAGTGTATTGATGTGTGAATGCAAGTGGATTAGAAGGTGATGGCTGAAGCCATTGCCCGTCTGCAGCCATCTCTCCTATAGCTGGTCGTGGCAAGCTCAGCTGTACACAAACTATGACCATTTATGGGCCAGTGTATTAACTAAGCCATGGCCTGTTTTTGAGTTATGTTTGTGTGCCATCTTGTATGGTGTATAACTGAGCTGCTTCGCTTGAGGTCAGCTATCCCTTCTGCTGGCATCAGAAGACCATGCACTTGGCAGGGGCAAGTACAGGTTCAGCTGTCCAAGTTTAATCTGCTTGAATTCTTAAATCAATAAACCAGCTCAAAATAAATGAAGTTTAGAGGTTGGATGCTAGTGCCATACATTTAGTTGTTGGAGTGTTTATCTCTGAAATACTGCAAATTCATCAGCTTAAATAAATACAGTGTCTCTAGCCTTCAGTGGCACATAGTTGATAGAGGTGGAAGTGAATGGTGGGTTGTACTGCTATATCTGTATGCCAACTGCTGTGTTTTTTCCCTCCTTTTTGCTAGGTTTCTCCAAAACTAATACCAATGAGGCAGATTTGAACGTGAAATACAGACTGGGCTTAACTTGCCAGAAGGCTTGTTTCCAAATGGGAGCTCAGTGAAGAGAAATCGATGGCTGTTTTGTTTTGCAATTTGCAATTTTTTTATTTTTTTTTTGAAGGGCTTTGTAAGTAGTTTCCAGATAGTTAAACTCGAGTTGTGACTATCAGCCTAAATTGTGTTTTACTTTCATAACATTACCGTTTTTAATGGAAGGGTGAATTTATTCCCGAAATTTTAAATAATGTTATATTAATTTGTTAATGAACATTGTCCAAAAGCATGCCTTGTAGTCTCTCTGCCAAATACTATTTTTTTAACACAGATTCAGAAAATGACCATGCAAAACTTACAATTGCCTCTGCTTTTCCTGATGTCATTAAACTTACTAATAACTCCATTGCTGTGGAACTACAGCACTTGCAATGTCCGTTCTCCTGTAAAGGTGCGGCGTTTTTTTCTGGAGTGGTCTACAGCAAATGTACGCAGCTGTAGAGAGAAAGCGGGAATATGGACTTCTCTTTTCCCGAACCTTTTAATGAGCCCATGACAAAACTGTTTATACCAGTGGAAATAACTGGGTCCTTAGCCCTGAATGTATTTACTGTTTCCATGGTGTGTTTCTGTTAGCATTAAGAAGCTTACGCTTCCCAAAGTCCAACTCTGACCCCTTCTATTTGAATCATATGAACTAGAATGAGGTTAGTGTGAAGGAGGAAGATTTAAAAGGTCTCCAGCCCCATGCAGACAGCTGGTAGCTGCATAGTTGTCCCACAGGAAGCACTCTTACTCTCCAGATACAGCTCTTCTTATCCCCAGCCCCCATTCAAAGGCAAATGAAGATTGTTTCTGGACTGTCCTTCCAGTGTTAACACAGAGAAACAGGGGAGGAGAATGTTGTGGGCACTTCAAAGATTTCTTCTGAAGGAAATACAGTTGGTTAAGGGTAAAAGCCATAAGTTTGTACCACTTGACTATCAAGGCATCAGCAAAAATGAAAGAGTTTGGATCCCAAACTCATGATAACCAGAATAAATGCCATGAGACAATCAAAATGAAAAGACGTTCTCTCATACTGGTTCTGCTATTTGATAAAGATCTTCCTTTCCCTGTTATTAATTACAAAATGACTGTTATTTTTGCAAATAGGTAATATGACAGCATTGGATCTCACATCCCAAATCAGCACAATAAATCTTTATTATATAGAGCATGAATTGACTGGAAATCCACATCTACTAAAATACAGTGTTCTCTCCAAGTATAATGGTTTCTGTCTTTCATATAAATAGGAACACTTGAAACACTTCAGTTAGAATAATTCCTGACACAATGTTTGACATCGGGACTGGAGCAGAATAAGTGACTGAAAAACATGTAAAATGTAGATGCACAAGTAAATATATATATATATATTTATATATATATGCCTATCATACATGTGATAAACAGTGTTGGGGATATGGTATAGAAGGGCATTGTAGTACTAGATGGATGAGGCATTCACCGTAGTCAGTGTGTGTTGTGGAAGGAATGTTTCTAGGGAACTAGATAGGAAAATCCTGCAATATTTAGCTCCTGTACTAGTCTTTGTGCTGCATTTTTCCATTCTAAAATAAAAATGCTTCTCTTTCATGGGACAGTTATAAGATTTGTCTTGATCCACACATGGGTTTTATAGCAATAAAACTGTTTTGATTAGAGAAATTATTTTGTTTAGTTGCTCTAAACAATTCTTTGATAACCTCTTGTCAATATACCACATTAGGTTATCCTTCTTCCCACAAAGGAATAAACAAAATGCCTTTGTAAACCCATTTATACTAGTACAGAAGTACTCCCATAATCCTATATCATATGACTTGAACTCATGGGTGCTAGTGGGTGGTAGGCTGTTGTGTAGCCTGAATGTGTAGGCAAGACCTGATCCTGAGCCCATGGGAAAGAAACATGTAATACAAAGTCTAGTGCTAATTTCATGATTAAACACGTACAGGTGATTTGGTTGATAGGTAATTTGCACGCAAGACTTAAATCTACATTTATCAAAGTGCTCCAGAATATCTTAACCCGGGATTAGCACAAGTTAGTTTTTACTTAGCTTTAGTTTTCACCTGTTTTCTCTGTTTAGGTGTATTCCCTATGTTATTTACTCATTCCCTATGTTATTCACCCATTTCACTTTCTTAAAGTTTGGCCGTTTCTGTTGCTGTGGAGGTGGTCTGAAGTTCTGCTCGCAGAGTTTTTGCAGACTAGAAGTCTTTATACAACAAAAGGTGGCTCTATGTTAGCCGAGTATGAAACAGTTTTGGTTTTGGATAGAGCAGCCCAGAGGCCTCTTCCCCAATCCATAAAGACACTTCAGTGACAGTTCTGACCTTTGTGGTGCTGTACCCAGCAAAAGTTGCCTATCTTTGCCTTCAGGGCCAAGGATGGGTGAAGAGCTACTCTGAGGGGATGGGTGTGATGCCTGAAGGTGTCTTGTTCATCGTCATTCAAAGCTCTCACAGAGACTTCCCGGAACGGATGCTGATTTTAGGCGAGCAGTATAAAATAGGGAATTACTATTAACTTATCCAGAGAAAAAAAATGTATTTAAATAGCTGGGGAAGTCTTAAATAAATCTGTAAATGAAATGTTCATCTTTGCTATTACCGATGCTACATTAGTTGTAGGACTGACTAGTTAATCACAGCGAACTTTTATTGAGATATATATATAGCACAGGAGAAGTGTCTGAGGGCAGCGTCAAGTGTATGCTGGAGCTGCCGTAGAACTATGCTTTGCTGGCATACGCACAGAAGCCATAGTTGTCATTCATATATGGCTATAAAAAGGCTAATGACCTGGTAATGTCTGGGAGTTCAGCACCTTGGTTTCTGAAGCAAAGAATTAGGAGCCAAGAACTCCTGAGTTTCAGCTTTTGCAGTTCTCCACTTACTGCCTTGAGAAATGTCATCTGTGCTCTCTGCCTTGTCTCCTGTTGCTAATAAAGGGGATGTTTTTCTTCCTACCTCACAGGGATGTTGTGAGGAATAACCAGCTAAGGTCTGTGCAACAGGTTATTTTTTTTCTTCAAATTGGAGGTCACACTTGATCAAGAATGTGGAAGAGTACTTGAAGACTGTCATGCATGCTGGATATTTGAATTCTGTGTCTTCTCATATTTGTATCAGTGTTAATGCAAGAGAGCAAAAGTCAATATGGTGCTGAAAACTGGGGATGAAAGGAGAACAGGCTCTCTCCGTATACAACAGTGGTGCAAATATCTGTATGTCACACTTGATTTTTTTTGTCTTGAGGTCATTATATTGTAGTAGAATATTGGTATTGTTATGAAAACGTCATGTGTCCACACAAGCTGGTTGCAACAAGCTGTAACTCCAATTTTTTAATTGATTGGTAAAGTAGGTTTAGAAATTGAAGCACTACTAAGTATTTCCCTCTCTATGGATGCAAGTATGATTCATAGGTAAGGTATACTCTGAGCAGTAGTTGCCATGATCAGTATTACAGGAATGAAAGCTTCTTATTCCTTGTTGGTGGTTGATGGTATGCATGAAGGTTTATTGGGACATCACAGAGATCATGCCCTGCTTGACAGCATTTCACAAGACAAGGACAGTTGATGCTCTTTATCCTGAAGAAGATGAGATTCTACTATATAATCACA